AAGCTATGCATGCTATACTTAATCGAGGCGTGTTAGAGATCAATTGGCGCATGGATGGAGGAGAGAAAGAAAAAAAAAAAAGATAAAAAGAACAAGAAGGATTCGCAGAATGATATACACGTAACTTGATCATAGTGAAGGGCAGAACATATCCTAGAATTAGTTCATCTTGAGAACAAAAAGGGAAATTGACAGTGATATTACTGTCAATTGGTCTTCCGTATACCTTTCGTATATTAACACTAGAGGTACGTCTTCTGTGCAAGACGCAATCTTGACCCCTAGTAGTTTAGTTGAACACATAGCACTAAATTTTTCTGGTACATAATAAATAAACAGAAATACAAGTGAAAATTTGAGTATCAGAACAATTAAAATTTGCTGTGAAGAGAAATTCCATCTATGAAATTAGCTCTTCTAAATCAAGGAGGCAACAAACATAGGATCTATCAAATTCATCACTAATCTTGAGCTTAATGAAGGAAGATAATGAAGCAAGTGCACGGTTGAGTACAATTGGGGAGGAAGAAAGCTGATTTTTCTGTGCAATTTTGAGAAACAATTTATAGGGTAACAGGAAAAAAGACTTTAATCGATTACATAAAGGAGACATTTAAATATAAGAGCTACTAATCAAACATAATTAATCAATATTCAAGGGCTAAAAGTTTTTCACTATTTTGTAAAATTTGATCCTATGGTCATAAATTAGACAACATATAAAAACAGTAGAAATCCATGCGATTAAGCAAATTGACCTGCAGTAAAATAACCTATTTTAGCCTATATAGTATATTTTTGTCTTGACCCATCAAGGTAGAAGTGGAAAAATAAAAAATAAGAGAAAAATCATAGTTTTCTCAAAAGAGAGTTACACAACGTGTCAAAAAATGGGAGTGCTACAGTAAACTGCCATGTCTTCTTATATAATAGGTAGATAGATAATCGTTGCTTACTAGTTCTTATGTGTGTTTATTTTAGGCCTTCTTTCTATTTTGGTAGACAACAAACTTGGCATCAGGTTATATAAAAATGGAGGAAACACACAAATATTTTCTTCTACACTAATTAAACCTCATTCCTAGTAATATTTTTGCAAACTTTGAAAAGTGAATTGTGCGTACCATAGCTTGCGTGGTTGGATATAAACCTAATTACATTGTGGACAGAAAGTGGATAATTTTTACTCTAAAATAACCAAAATAATAATGGGGCTAAGGGCCTAAGCAAGTAGTAGTTAATTTTCTTTATTTTGGGAAGGTTGGTGAACTCACGCCAAGAGACACAATTTTAAGCTATTATTATGTAACTTTGTTAACAGGATGTGCACCCTCTTTTTGCCAAAACATTCCACACTAACAAAAGGATGCAACTACTACTTCATCTCTGTGTCATCAGGTGTTTATTGCATATAAAATTGATATTCACTTTCTTCGATTCTCTTAATGCAGGCCAATCTTGATTCTTCACAGTTAAAAACGTTTCCAGATAAGAGAAGTGAGAAGTAATTAATTAAAGTCCGTTGTTCCATTATGAGGCTCAATCCCAACGTTCTTTGCACTCCTTTGGCAACAAGAACAGTTGTGTTTCTTGTATTTTGTTCTACGATATTGCTTCCTGTCCAAACAAACAACGGTGGCTTTACAGCCGATCTCATCCGTCGGGATTCATCGAAATCGCCCTTCTACAATCCCCTCTTAACAACATCACAACCTGTAAAGAATGCATTTCAACCTTCATTGAATCGTGCGAACCAATTTGCATCCACAAGTGTAGTACCAAATGGTGGTGAATATCTCATGAAAATATCCTACGGGACACCACCGGTTGAGACACTAGCAATTGTCGACACAGGCAGCGATGTTACCTGGACGATGTGCCTACCTTGTAAGACTTGTCACAAGTCAATCTCTTCCCTCTTCAATCCCAAAAATTCATCCACATTTGAGCTAGTACCTTGTACATCCAAAACATGTCGCGATTTTTCGTATTCCTTTTGCAATCAGGCTGATGCTACCACCTGTGAATACGAAGTAATCTACGCGGATCTTTCTTCCTCTAGGGGAGATGTTGCAACTGAAACTATAACTTTGGAAGGTTCCATGGGGGAGAGGCTGTCTTTCTCTAATTTTACTTTTGGATGCGCTCATCACTCGGATGGTGACTTTACTGACGAGGGAATGGGATCTGGACTTGTTGGACTTGGATTTGAGCAGCAATCACTAATTTCACAGCTTAGTTCTCCATTTGATGGCAAATTCTCCTATTGTTTTGGTCCACCAAATGAGGTCTCAAACCCCGGAAAAATAAGGTTTGGTAGCAATCCAATATTTTTGCAAGGAAGCAGGGTTTCAACGCCACTGTATTTTGGTTTTGCTTATTCTCTGAAACTACAAGGTATTAGCGTTGCAAATACAAGAATGGAGGATAGTGAAGGTGCGCTTTCGTCCGGGGAATTCATCATAGACTCGGGAACAACATACACGCTTCTTCCAACACAACTCTATTATGCATTTGAATCCGCTATCCAAGATTACATAGGGTCGCAAAATAGAGTGGATGACCCAAACAATGACTTCAAATTGTGTTATTCTTCTTTAGTTGATAGTGTTATCCCCAATATTACCATGCACTTTGCAGGTGCAGATTTGGAGTTGAATCCAGAAAACATCTTTCAGAGAACCTCACCTACTTCAGTCTGCCTGGGATTTTTCCCCAGCGACAGTATTGCCTTGTTTGGCAACTTGGCACAGGCCAACTTTTGGGTGGAATACGACTTGAAAAACAAAATTCTTTCATTTCAACGTGCTGATTGCGCTAGTCAATGATGTTTTCAGTAGTTAATATAGAGATGGTTGTATCAAACTTGTTTATTTAACTAGAAGTAATGAACAATTTCTATCTTGATGTGGTGCTGATATAATTATATTTTAAACAAAAAACATGTCCACTTTTAGGCATGATGAATGAGGTAGAATGAAGAGATCTAAACTGTGCTTTTCATTATATTGTTTTTCGATGAGCTGTTATGCTTAGCTTACTCATGGTTGGCAGTTGTTTGCTAGACAAAAGCAGCTGTATAATAATCACAGACCAGTGTCTCCCTTGTTCAAGACAATGTACATGGCAGTCCTCCTCATACCATAATCTGATTGTCCCGGTCAGGTGGCTGCTATGCAAGGATTGGAGTTGTAAGATACCTCATGAAGAGGAGGAAATAGCTGTGCAGACTGCCTAGCGAAGAAGAAGAACATCAACATGAACATGGTCTTCTAGAGGCCAATCAAGATTTGTTGCCCGCAATAGACAGGGCCCTCCATAGGACCCCCAAAAAAAAAAGTGTGTAATTAACTAAACTAATCTCGAGAACTACATTAACAATTGCTTTTATTAGCCTCCAATTAGTAAAAGTACGTACCATAACATGGTGGAAACTAGAACTCAATAACACTACTATAAACTAACAACGATCCTTGAATTATACCTCAATTCTCAATTTGGTCTCTAAAATCTTTTCTTTGTTCTAATTTCATGATTTTTTTGGCTTATTCTTTAATGTTTTTTGCTGCTTACTTGACGAGTATTATATTAGTTTTGGGTATTCCATTAGTAATGGTCTTTCAAGTGGGACGATTTTTATAGTATGGGGACCAAAGTGTCCCAATTTATAATTTACGGACCAAATTTAGAATTGAGGTACAGTTAAGGGACGCAAAATGAATTATTTCTTTCCCCTATCTACTCTATGTTTTAGGTATCTTCATCCCCAATGTGTAGATTCATTTTGCAATCTTTAAAATCCCAAGTGGTACAGATTAAGAAAAGACTGAAAGAGTTTTAGTATGTTTATGAAGTTACAATGTCAGCTATACTACCAATAAGTGTAAAAAAGAAAAGAATTAAAAATACAATTAAAAGGTAAGTATTATTTCTTAGGATTAATCCATATTTGAGACCAACTGGGACATGAATGGAAGAGAGAAACTGAAACTTTCACACACTGCTACATGGCAATAATTTAAGAGGGACATCAAGTGTTAATTTTTTTAGAAAAATAGTTAATTCAAGAAAATGTCACAATTTAAGGGTGCAATTAATGTAAATGTGTGTATTCACACACTAATTTAAGTTTACATCATTGTCCTAATGGTAGATCAAGCATGCACTATAAATAACGGATACGTAATTTAACAACAGATACAATATATCTGAAGCATTTTGAATAGATCTGGAAAACATAATAAATTTTCAAATTGTCTTTTGGTTCATGTAGCAACTTGACTTGGCAGACATTTAAGAACATCTCTATGTTTAATGAGGATGCGCTTTTTCGTATAATGAAGTATCTGATCTTTTAGACTAGGCTAGAGTCGGCTTCTCCTTAGACTAGGTTAGAGTAAATTATACAAATGTTATCGTTGCGACAAAAAAAAAAAAAAAGTTACCCGATTCTTGTGCATATATCTTATGCACTTTTATCTGCAATGTTCTTCATCCTTTCCTGATTATATCGTCTTTTACAAATGCCAGAACATAGATTAGATAGAGACCATTCATATGATTCTAAGTTTGTCTGCTACTAGCCACTTGGGCTCAACACTTTTCTGCTAGAATATTTTGAATTGATACACGAGAAGTCCTTGCAATTCCGCTTGTGGATATAATATTTCTTGCACCTTGGGCTAAATTGTTCCCAAGACTAGTCCAGGCTACGAGAAGTTGATGAAACAAATAGAATAACCTCTATGTTCCCTGCCACTCTCTTCCTAAACACGTTGAGCATGGAGCTGCCAAGCCAGGCACAGAAAAAACTGATCTGTTCTTGATTGGCAGAGTACTTCGACATTTGTAAAGGGCGAATTAACTACACAGTGCAGATCCAAGAATGAACAAAAAATTGTGGTCTAGGCGATTGGGTTCCCAGTCGTGCAATGGACAACTGAAGGATAATTTTAGTTCCAAAACGCATGCCAAGACAGGATAGTAGCTCAATTTGTCTGTTTTTGGAAGATTGGTGAACTCATGCCAAGACAGGATACATTTTGTTAGGACAATGCACGCTCTTTGCAACAAAAGCTAAACTAGTTAAAAGTATGTAATCACTAATATAAAATGTCCAGATGTTCTCTTAGCTTCTCTGAGTATAAAGCTTCTTCTTTAAGAAAAATCACACCTAGTAGGTTCAACATGAGATTCCCCCACATTATCTCGACTGTGTTAGTAGTAGTAACAACGCTTCTTGTATGTTGTTCTACATCCGTTTTTGTCCAAGCCAACAATTATGGTGGCTTTACCGCCGATCTCATCCACCGAGATGCACCAAAATCACCCTTCTATGATCCCCTCTTAACCCCTTCTCAACGCCTAAAGAACACTTTTCGTCGTTCATTAGACCGTGCGAATCAGTTCGCATCAGCAAGTGTAATCGTTAGTGGTGGTGAATATCTGATGAAGATATCTTATGGGACGCCACCATTTGAAACACAGGCAGTTGTTAACACTGCTGATGCTTCTACATGGACCCAATGCCTACCTTGTACTCAATGTTCCCAGGAAAAGTTCCCTCGTTTTGATCCACAAAATTCTTCCACATATGAGTCTGTTTCTTGTCATTCAAGAACATGTGACCAATTTTCAAGTTCCATGTGCACGCAGGACAGTTCAGCTTGTGCTTTCTTTGTACTTTATGGAGATGATTCTAACGTTTATGGCGAACTTGCAAGAGAAACTATAACTTTGGAAGGATCTGCTGGGGATAGGGTGTCTTTCCCTGACTTTATTTTCGGATGTGGACAAGGTGGTGACTTTCCTAAGGAGGGATCTGGCATTGTTGGCCTAGGATTCCAGCACCAATCACTGATCTCACAATTAAATTCCTCACTAAATGGGAAATTTTCCTATTGTTTTGGTCCATCCAATGATGTCTCCAAGCCTGGAAAAATCGGATTCGGTAACAATCCTGAACTCTTGGGAAGAGAAGGGGTGGTCTCAACGCCGCTACATTTTGATTTCACATACAGCCTGAGACTAGAAGCCATTAGTGTTGCAGATACAAGATTGGAGTATCATTATGATACACCCTCTTCAACATCAGGCAACATTTTCATAGACTCTGGGACACCTTATACTTTTCTTCCACAAGAACTCTACAGTGATTTTAAAGCTGCCATACAACGTGAAATTGGGTCACAGAATATAGTGGTCGACCAAGAACATGACTTTACATTGTGTTACTCATCTCTGCTTGACAGTAATATTCCCAATGTCACGTTACATTTTACAGGTGCAGATTTGAAGTTGAACCCAGAAAACATCTTTGATAGGGCCTCATCTTCTCCAGTGTGCCTAGGATTTGCCCCAAATGACATTGGCATACTTGGAAATATAGCACAGGCTAACTCTTGGGTACAATATGACTTGGGAAACAAAATTATCTCCTTTAAGCCAGCTGATTGCACCAAATGAGTCGCAATATACAGAAATTTAGGTACAATATGCTTGGGTTTGATCTGAAGGAAAGTATGAATAAGCACCAGTCACGGGTCATGTCCTAAAACATTAGAGGAATCTCGAAATCTGTTTCACTTGTCCAATTTTTCAACGACAATCAAACCCTTTTGAATTAAATGTTCTATGTTAGCATGAGAGGACGATTTTCCTTCTACTTTTCTTCTCTCTCATACTCTAGTACAAGTTCCTTCCTGAACTAGTTCAGATTGTTCTCCAAGGACAGACTTGGTATGAATTGAAAACGTATAATCTAAATTAACAAGAAACCGAGTACACTAAAATATAAACCGCACAAAAGCGGAGACAGGTAGAACCTTTTGAAGCAAATAGAACATCAAACCTGGTGTGGTGTCATATCTTTGCCTTGACTGATGCAAATATCAAATTCTACAATATAATCAAATTGGAATTGTTCTTATGCTTTTGTTAATTAATCATGACACAAGAGTTGATGAAATCATATAGCAGCTGAATTTCACAAACAGGAGGGTCATGCACTTTACTATGGTTAAAACGATGCATTTTCGACTAAGATTTGAACAACTGCTATCCAACCATATTCTTTTGTAGCATTCTCTTTTTAATACTCTGCTCCACATGATATTTTAGTTTCTTCTTCCTCTTAATGGAATTTAATTTTGTTGAAACAATTTCCCCACAATGGAGTAAGTAAATATTCATTGAGTAAAAGACAAAATTATGAGTTTTATACTACTAGCAATTAGTGTTCAAGTACCTTCGCTGACAACTATAGACTTCAACAAGATAATGGACTACTAGACACTATGAATTTGGTAAGGAAAATATGCTAGCAATTAAGATTGTGAGTTGTCCATTACAATCTTGATTACAATTTAGATGATGGCACAAAACTTCGGCATGCCCAGGACAGCTTTCTAGTTCAGCTTGAGATTGGATTTAGCCAAACCTATCCACGCTGGATTGCAAGTACTTGAAAATGTAAATGAAACTAGATTGATTATGTACACCATGTCAAATTGTTACATAATTCAGAAGTAATACAAGGATGATCCATTAGTTCATGAAACGTAAATGAGCATCAAAAACACATATCACCAAGAATGGCGATTACCTCTTCTTACCTTTCTTCGGAAAGGCCTGCAAGCCTCAATGCTGAGATCAACAGCAGCGGCAAGAGCCATAAAAATGGCTGCATCCTCCACACAAGTCACATATCGCATGGCTAGTTGCACCAGGGGCTTGCAACGTTTCCCTTCTCCTTGTACCCTAGAGCTCATAACAAACCCACCATGGACAGGACTTAGTGCAGCAAAATCACCACTGCTTTGTGGACTTGGAACTGGAGTTGCTGCAGCTTTCACCTGTCTATCTGTATCTATGAAGAACTCGCCACCCTTTTCAGCATTAATCAATATCTCTGACATGAGGATCTCCCCACCCTCCTGTCCTTCAGATAAAAGGTGGAAGCGACAGCAGATGGAGTCTCTGATGCCACGTTCACGCCATGCTTCAAGCTTTCCCCATGGCTGCCAGCTCTCAGGCCTGCAAGCATCAGGCCGAACAATCAACCAAGCTCCTGGGTTGGATTTTGCTACCCAGTCACAGCCTGATGAAGGCACAAATGGAGTAGTTATGAAGGCTGCTGCAACAACTGAGCCAGAGAGATCGTGAATTTTCACCTTCCATCCCTTCCTCTCTCTTCTTTCTACATCCTGATCAGAACTGTCAACTGAATGTGACCAGAAGTTGCTCAGCGGATCTAACTGGGTTACCCTGTAAATTCATAACAATTTTCACACATCAAAAAATGGGAGAACTAAAATTGCTGTTGTCTGCATTGTCAACTTGTAAAATGATGTCAGAACCACTGAAGTCAAGCAACTGAAGAGTTAAGAGTTCAAACATAGATGACAAGAAAGTCAGCCTTATTGACATGGAATCAATTGTCAATTCTAAACAGAATAATCCACCATAAAAGATTTGACAGAAACCTGAAAATGTTAGAAAATCGATATTACCTGTCTTGATTAAACTTGCAACTGAAAATAGGCTGCTTAAATGTACCCTGAAGCTGAACTATCTGGGGACTTGATCTGGTCTCATCTTCAAACTGAAACATATATCTTGGATCAGGATCTAGCTTCACTCTTAAATGAAGCTCTGCTCCAGGTTTTGCACTACCCTGCTTGCTCTTGCCAATACCTATCCACCCATTGAAAAGTATAATCGGTTTTCCTTCTCCCCATTCAGGACCAACTTCCAACTTAAAAGTTCCAATCTGTTGCCTTTTAATACCAACACCACAATGTGTACCTTTGCGCCCTCTAAAAACTACTATTTCCAGACATGCATGAGATGCGTAGAAACAGCCTGGGGCCAGCAATGCTTTGAGATCAGATTCTTCTAGGTAAAAGCTGGAGGCAACACTCTGAGCATCTGGGGTAACTTCAGGAGAGGATAGAAAGGGAATAGAGGAGGTCTGCACAGGAAAACCACGTAAGCGAATCTCACACACACATGGAGAAGAGATAGCATTAATTCCAGACTTAGAAGAATTCAGTTCTGTCCCAGGAAGTCGCAAACCCAGTGAACCTATTGACAACCTTATGAAAGCTTGAGGATCCATTTTTGTCACAAGTCCTTCTCCATTGGACAATTCTGTAGCACTGTAGCAGAAAAAAACCTGTTATGACAAGAAGTATCAGCTAATGATAAGTAGATTGAAGGGCATAAAGTAGCTAAATCAACATAGATTACTATGTATTTCGCTTCTTTGCAATAAACCTCATGTTTTAGAGTATTAGTTGTGAACGCTATAATGCTCTTGCGCACCATGAGCGGAAAGGATCTGCTGCAGTTTGTGCCAATTATAAATTGAATTCCAGATTAAATTCCAAAAATTAATAAGTAACTGGATCAAAGAGGAATTCTGCCATAGAATGAGAAGATGCAAGCTTCACATATGATGGGAAATTATAAATTAAATGTTATTTTTTTCAGTAGGTCTAATATAGACCTAGACACCATATTAACATATAGTAAATAATAGACATGAATGAACACGTATCCTAAACTGTGAAGGATTTTGTGTGTGCATGGATTCACAGTATGTCAAAAATACTTTTGGTACTTTTGAGTACTAACCACAAGGCACATGGTTAGACAAAGGACTTACCGCACATTTATGATACATTAAGCAAAGTAATCAGCTAACAAGAAAAAAAGAATGAGTAGACTAGAGAAAGACCAATTCAGTAATCCTCATTTTGTTTGAAACAAGGAACAATGATATGATTTAGAGATAGAGAGAGAAAGGGGGGAAAGTAAAGTAATCGCTAATACTTAGTGTCAGTAGAGGCCTCAAACCAAACTGTATTTATTTTGTATAGGATATGCCTTTATTCCATTAAGTAACATAGATCAACGGTCTACTGAATTCCAATTTCATACCCTTCTCAATTGAGTATGACCATGTCTCCCAACCATAACCAACTTAACAATGTGAAATTAAGGGACAGAAAATAAATTGTGGTATCTCAACATTGATCAAGGACTATTAACAATATCAATGGCCACTGTAGCTGAGGCTTTTGGGTTGCCTGACATAAAGGAAAATAAGGTTCTAATATTTGCAGCTTCTGTCTGATCATGAGCATAGCAAATAATGACCAAAAATCCAGATCAACAGAAACATCATCAGGAGCAAAAAGCAGAGTTAACCAGCTTTTCAAAACTTAGAACTTTCCAGCACCCGATCTACTGTAAAAGAATGGAAAAATCCTTTCCCGTGAAGAAATTCTCTCCCATCTCACGAAACTATTTCATTCTACTGGAAGAATAAGGAAAATTTACTCTAAGCAAGATATATGGTATCTTAAACTCAATCATGATCTTGGATATAAGCACTCAATACTAAATCAAACAAAAAGGGATGAAGGTTAAACCCAAAAAATGCTGATTTTCAGCTCAAAATTAGTAGCCTAGAAAGTCAAGCAGTAGCCTAAATTTCTTCACCATTAAATTGCCAGATATAGGATTTGTTCATAAAGTATACATCAGGTGAAAAATTGGTCAGAATTCTGATCCAGTCAATAGAAGAACTCCTGAAAATTCCTCAACTAAAGCGATTCCTATCAGATTGATATCACCTTTATTTCCCGTTTGTGTGACTTTGTTCACAATTAATTAATCCCAGAACTGCCTAATTACTTAATTTCCCTTTATCTCTTTCACATTCCAAATAAATGAACTTAAGAAGTGCATAGCCTTTAGCTTTAATTTACCTAAAAATCAGAAACCCATACAAATGTACCAACTGACAACATCAGTTGTCAACAATGAACTTAAGCCATTAATCAACCATACTAGTCAATACACAAAATCATCCATAAAAGACAAGTCAAAGCCACTTAAAAATGCAAAATTTGAGGAAAGAACAAAAGAAATATGAAACGAACCTTTGCTATGATGCTTTATCTATCTCCAAAGCAAAACCAAAGCCACTTTTGAAGCTAAGTCCACTGAAAATAGCCCAGAAAGCTGAGAAAATCCTCATAACTTTGTCATTCAATTTTCCAAGAAAATAACCAAAAAGATTGAAACTTTGACACTTATATCACCAAAACGGACTGTATATCCAAAAGGGTCGCTCTCAAGATCCAATTACAATATGAATAAATGATCAAAAGGGTCCTTTAATAGCAATAGCTGCCACCAAAAACTACAGCCTCCTCCAAGCATATCACGTAGACAATGCACAGATCACGAGGAAAGATATACTTATATAAACTACGTACGTATATATACTGTGGAGATTAGCTGTAGCTCTTGACAAATGTTGCTTTCTTTTTCACTGTTCTCCTGCACATATACACACAGTGACGTACACTGTAAATGTGTGTATTTTAAGTGTTTCCTAACAAAGGTTTTGGAGAGAAAATGGAGAGCCATTGTTTAAAACGCCACAGGCGGAGAAAGTAAAGGAGTATTATTGATTTTTTAATAATCGGAATATGAAAATGCTATTTTCATATATTTTTAAATCTATAAAGCTCCCAAGAATACTAGTAGGTGCTTTTTAAAATTATTTTATTTCTATAATGGCCAAGTAATGTTTTTGGACTAATTTACTTTTACCTCACAATAATCCACTTTCTCCAACTGATAGGAAAGAATATCAATCATGAACCAATCAAAAGAATGCAATTCCCCCCCCCCCCCACTTAAAAGGGTACCACAAAATTAGAGGTAAAGGTATAGTATATTCTTGGGTGTTCTTATTACTATTTTTTTCCACGTTAATCAATAAGGGGTCTAAATATTGTGGAGTTGTGAATAATATCACAGTTGAAGAAATTAGAATATTGCGAACTTGTAAATAATGTGTTAGGACTATGCAAATAACTAAAAATTTGCATGATTTGTGTTTTTTTTTTCAATTAATTCGGACTATACTACTTTATTAGTAGAGTACAAAAGGAAGTAACAAAAAAAAAGTAACTTAACTTGGATTGTAGACTTTATATACTCCATACATTGTGATGCTAGGCACACTTAGGATTTGTCAAATGGTTATGTGTACCAAATAGTAATATTGTCCATCTTAGGATGATAACAAGCAAGAATCTCCTTTAAAAAAAAAAAAGAAAAAAAAATTGGAAGAGGAATATGAGAATAAGTGAATTAGTTGTTAATTACAAACATTCTTTT